CAAGGCAAGAAAAGTGCATAACTAGGGGCGCTCAGAGTGCTTGGGACTCTCTTCCTCCAGCCTGCTCACTGACAGGGTGCAGTGAGTGTTGCTCAGACAACTGGTCACTGGCTTGGAGTGTCAGTTGTGAGTAAGGTGGGATAACATCAGACGGTGTATTTGATTATTGGGGAGCACACTCGCATGCACGGCTCATCGGATTAGACAGGGCTAACCCATGCCGGAGACTGTGCAAAGGGGCTAGGGTGGGTTCTGAGTTAGGGCCCAGCCTAAGCTCCTACTGTCACTGAGACGTTCCTGATCCCTGTCATCCAGAGAAGAGACTTGAAGTCAGCTTTCCCTGGAGCTGGGTAAAACAGGAGGCCTAATATTGGCTACCCTCCTCTGTGTGCCTGTTGTTGTGTGTGACTCCTGCAGTTTCCAGACACAGTTATTCTATCCTTCTCTAGTCCTTTTTACCTTCCCTATCCTATAGATAGTAAAGTTTAGTTTCCTTTATAATTTGGTGCCCTAATAGACAGGTGAACGGGGTGAGAACCAGATAAGAGCTCAGGTGGATCTCTCTGGAGTCCTCCTTTCTCTTACACCATAATATAAGAACTAGGGGTCATCAAATGAAATTAATGAGTAGCAGGTTTAAAACAAACAAAAGGAAGTTTTCCTTCACGCCATGCACAGTCAACCTGTGGAACTCCTTGCCAGCGGATGGTGTGAAGACCTGGACTTTAACAGGGTTAAAAAATGATCTAAATAAATTCATGGAGATTAGGTCCATTCTAGCGTCTCTTTGTCAGAGGCTGGACGTGGGTGACAGGAGAGGGTTCACATGATGATTCCCTGTTCCGTTCACTTCCTCTGCGGCATCTGGCATTGGCCACTGTTGGCAGACGGGATACTGGGTGAGATGAACCTTTGTTCTGACCCAGTATGGCTGTTCTTAAGTTCTTAAGACCAAATAGCTTTTTTTATTTTGTTTGCTTTTTACTGCCATTTTTTTGTTCTGTCCAAATGAGTTATAGAGTACAGTATTGGTGTGTCCTACTGCTGTATAAGCAACTATCTCTGCCATTTGATATAATTACAAGGATTGCCTTTTATAACTAGTCCTTATTCCTGCACATCTGATCTGTTTGCCAGTGTCAGAAAATCTGAAAAAAAATTAACCATAAATAGTATATTGTACAGTACTAGTGTCTGGGTATAATGTCTTTGAAGTTGTTCCCATCCCCAGAGGGATCAATTCCCTGCTGTGGGAAGGTGGGTTGAAAAGCAGTGCAACTACTTTACCAGCTTTTAATTGGAGGATTTATACATTATGTTCTATAAACAAAGTGGATCTGTGGGAGTTGAATTTTGGTTTTGTATAGTGATATGTTTGCACGAGCAAAAACTTCAGAAATAGTTACTTTTAAGTGATAGTAAACAAACCAAAAAGTTTACGTGTCACTAATCTGCTACCAGATATCTTTAAAATAGTTTGTGATTGACATAGGGATGTAAGCGACTAGTTGACTAGTCGCTTCCCCCTAAGGGGGGGAACAGGAGCCGGTGCTGGGAGGAGCTGGCTTAAAAGCGGTTCCCCCACCACCGTCTGTGTGGCAGGCAGGGGAGTCAGGGGGGTAGCAGGGATTGGGAAGAAGCTGGGACAGCTGATTCCTGGCTTGCACTGAGTGTTACTCCCACCCCCGACGCACGACCAAAGCCCTTTGCTGTGCTTTAGCTTTTTAAACGTATTAAGAGCCGGCTCTTAATACATTGAAAAGGCAGAGCTGCAGCAGAGTTAGCTCCCAGGCTGGGATCTAACCAAGCTGCAGGTCCCCTGCTTAGCAATGAATTGACTAGTCAATGGAAAATCCGTCGATTAGTTGATTAACTTAAATTTAACATCCCTAGATTCACATTGACTCAGTAACTTTTAAATTCATATTACATCATTTAAAATATTTTTTTTTTACCCTTTTTCAGACAAGTTCTTGACCTGTTTATCCATTCTAGTACATGTGTCATCCGTGATGGTTTTTTGAGTGGCTTTATGTTAAATGGAGCACATGCACACCCACACACAATTTATTGCAATAAAGGGTAGCTGGAGAAGGCACTAAACAGCTAGAAATAGCTGCTGTGAACTTCTAAATGTCTACTATCTAAGTCTGTATAAAATGTAAAAGGAACAGTTTATTGAGGATATGTAATGAAATATTCTTTCACCCACTCCCATGGGGCTAAAATCATCTAATGATTTGGGGACAAATTTCTTTGATATTTTGTGTCTGTGTGATAAAGCTACTGACTTTTTTTTGTAAGACACACAATTCATATGTAACTTTTATGTGTGTTTTATTGGTATGGATTTGAGAAAATGCTACCCTTTTGAAAGCAACTGATATGTTATGCTGAAGTTGTGTGTGCTTGTGGAATGGTGAACGCTATCTCGATTTTGCTCATGGTAGTCACCCAAAAGTTTAAAATACATAGTGAGATGTTTCTGGCCATGTATAAAATGTCAAATGCATTTTAAAATAAAGCTTTTAGTTAAGCTCAGTGGTTCTCCACCAGTGTATGTGTACCCTTAGGGATACTCAGAATTCCTCCAGGAGGTACTTCTGCTCATCTGGATATTTGCCTAATTTTTACAAGAGGTTACATAAAAAGCACTAGTAAAGTCAGTGCAAACTAAAATTTCATACAGTGATTCGTTTATACTGCTCTGTATACTATACTCTGAAATGTAAGAACAATATTATATTCCAGTTGAGTTATTTCATAATTATATGGTAAAAATGAGAAAGTAAGCAATTTTTCAGTAACAGGGTGTTGTGACAAATTTGTATTTTTATGCCTGATTGTGTAAGCAAGTAGTTTTTAGATGAGGTGAAAGTTGGGGGTACACAAAATTTATCAGACCCCTGAGAGGGGCATAGTAGTCTGGAAAGGTTGAGAGCCACTGCTCTGGGACACAAAAACAGATTAGGAAAGTTTATGAATACGAAGATAGTTAAGGTCTTTTTGTCTAGAAATAAAAGCATTGTAATTTTGTGAAAACCTAAGTCAATAAATTCGTTAATTTATTTAGATATTCTCCATTCAAAATAATCTAAAATTCAATGATCTATATCACCTGTATTTTGCTTAAGGCTGATTTTTAGAATTTAATTTATTAAATTCAAAATAAAAATGTACTCATTGCAAAAAATTTGTTCTATTGTATGCTTTCAGCTCTGTCATTTGGGAACTTCTTTTTAAAATAGCTAAGTGTATATTGTTAAATACTATAGCTCTGTATGGTACTGGCAGAAACCTCTAGGAAAAGAAAGAAGCTAGCTTTTTTTGGGGGGGGAGGGGTAAATACTGGAACATTTGTTATAGCCATTGTCAAAAAAATATATAAATGTACTAGTTTCAACTCAGATGCTT